GACGGTTCTTTCTCTGAGAAACAACTGTCTTCTGAGGATGATTTGTCAGATGCAGAATTTCATGAGAGTGAAGAGAAAAAGTAAGACTTTTGTAAACAGAGACAAAATTCTCAGGGGTAACGAAGGTCACTTTATCTACAGGAAAAGAAATCCATATCTGGTTATAAGGGCAAGAGAAATGCTTTCCTTTCAGTTCTGGGGTCAAGAAAAGCTTTATATTGATAGAAGGGAAAGAGTTGGCTCAGTCTCATCACCGTTGGAATTTCATGACGGTCTTATTTCCAAGTGTTCCTGGTTTCATGTTCCAAGTTTTGTCAGGCTCCTGATCTGTGTATTGGATTTTCATGCTGCCTTGTTTTATGGATTTTATATCTTTGGTTCTTGTGTTTTACCTTTGTGCCTTGAAGCTCATGGACTATCTTTTATCTTTGGACTATACTGTTTTCACCATTTTTACTGCTGTGCTTATATCTATTTTTCAATAAATTGCTTGCTAATTCTACTAAGCTGGTGTGGTGTTTAAGGACAGAGGTCTTCCAGCTCTGAAATACAACTCATTACTGTCGAAGGCTTTCATGGCCGGAATCACTGGGTTGTTGTAGGGTTTTTTGGGGGGCTATATGGCCATGTTCTAAAGGCATTTTCTCCTGACGTTTCGCCTGCATCTATGGCAAGCATCCTCAGAGGTAGTGAGGTCTGTTGGAACTAGGGAAAAGGGTTTACATATCTGTGGAATGACCAGGGTGGGACAAAGGACTCTTGTCTGCTGGAGCTAGGTGTGAATGTTTCAACTGACCACCTTGATTAGCATTTGATTGCCTGGCAGTGCCTGGAGCAATCTTTTGTTGAGAGGTGATTAGATGTCCTTGTTTGTTTCCTCTCTTTTGTTGTGCTGTAATTTTGGAGTTTTTTTTTAATACTGGTAGCCAGATTTTGTTCATTTTCATGGTTTCCTCCTTTCTGTTGAAATTGTCCACATGCTTGTGGATTTCAATGGCTTCTCTGTGTAGTCTGGCATGGTGGCTGTTGGAGTGGTCCAGCATTTCTGTGTTCTCAATAATATGCTGTGTCCAGGTTGGTTCATCAGGTGCTCTGCTATGGCTGACTTCTCTGGTTGAAGTAGTCTGCAGTGCCTTTCATGTTCCTTGATGCATGTCTGGGCACTGCGTTTGGTGGTCCCTATGTAGACTTGCAGCTAAACATAAAAAAAACCAAGATTATGGCAACAAGAATGATTGACAACTGGAAAATAGAGGGAGAAAATGTGGAGGCCGTGACAGACTTTGTATTTCTAGGTACAAAGATTACTGCAGATGCAGACTGTGGCCAGGAAATCAGAAGACGCTTACTTCTTGGGAGGAGAGCAATGTCCAATCTCGATAAAATAGTAAAGAGTAGAGACATCACACTGGCAACAAAGATCCGCATAGTCAAAGCCATGGTATTCCCTGTAGTAACCTACGGATGTGAGAGCTGGACCTTAGGGAAGGCTGAGCGAAGGAAGATAGATGCTTTTGAACTGTGGTGTTGGAGGAAAGTTCTGAGAGTGCCTTGGACTGCGAGAAGATCCAACCAGTCCATCCTCCAGGAAATAAAGCCCGACTGCTCACTGGAGGGAAGGATACTAGAGACAAAGTTGAAGTACTTTGGCCACATCATGAGACAGCAAAGCCTAGAGAAGACAATTATGCTGGGGAAAGTGGAAGGTAAAAGGAAGAGGGGCCGACCAAGGGCAAGATGGATGGATGGCATCCTTGAAGTGACTGGACTGACCTTGAAGGAGCTGGGGGTGGTGACGGCCGACAGGGAGCTCTAGCGTGGGCTGGTCCATGAGGTCACGAAGAGTCGGAGACGACTGAACAAATGAACAACAACAACTGTAGACTTGTCCACAGCTGCATGGTATACGGTAGACTCCTGCAGAAGTGAGAGGATCCCTCTTGTCTTTTGCTGAATGTAGCATTTTTTGGATTTTCTTGGTGGGTCTGTAGATAGTTTTCAACCTGCTAGGTGAGCAGTAGCTGAGCAAGATCTCAACCCAACCTGGGCTTGAACTGTCAGCCTTTCAATCAGCAAGATTTTCTGCAGCTAGTGGTTTAATTCACTGTGCTAAAGCCTGGCCCATCTCATTCCTTGCTTTACAGCAGGAATTTTTCCACAGAGTAAAATTGGGCTTCCAAAGAGGATGCCTCAATGGCTGACTCATCTCTACCAGGGAAGGAAGAATTAAAAGAAACATTAGACTAACAAGAATGCTGTTTTTTGTCATTCTAAACATTTATTTTCCAAAGTCCTCGATCTCTGCATGGAACGTCTCTGGAGAAATGAAAATCACATCCTAACTCGACAGTGGATTAACCTCCTTGTAGCGATCCATGGAGATCCTCTCTGGCTTCCGCCTCCGCCACCCTCCCTTTCCCCTTGAACATCGTCTTCATTCTTAATTAAGAGCACAGAGCAGATGCGGCGGATATTTAATTTCAATATTGGCGGTGTTTGCTTAAGCTTTTCGAAAGGGATTAGCGTTCCAAGCGGGGAGGCTGGGGTGGGCCGCCTCTCCCCTGTTCAGCCCAATTGAAAAAACCAATCAGGAATTAGTGCAAGAATTAACACCATTTTGTGAAAAAAGGACAAGGGCCGGAGGTACCAGATGTTGTTTCATCTGGGATCCTAAGCAGGGTCAACCCTGGTTGGGACTTGGATGGGAGACCGTCGTTGAAACCTGGAAGCTGTAGCTTGCCTACGAAAATGTAATGTTGACTCATCTTGGGATGTATTTAAAAACTCTAAAATTGCAACAGCACAACAACAGAGAGGAAACAAACAAGGACATCTAATCACCTCTCAACAAAAGTTTTCTCTAGGCACTGTCAAGCTATTATATGCTAATCAAGGTGGTCAGTCGAAACATTCACACCTAGCTCCAGCAGACAAGAGTCCTTTGTCCCACCCTGGTCATTCCACAGACATATAAACCCTTTTTCCTAGTTCCAACAGACCTCACTACCTCTGAGGATGCTTGCCATAGATGCAGGCGAAACGTCAGGAGAGAATGCCTCTAGACCATAGCCATACAGCCCAAAAAAACCTACAACAACCCAGATGTATATGTTGTTTGAGAACTAAAAAAAATTAGGAACCATCTCTTTGCAAAATCTAAATTATAGACATTGGAAAGATGTTTTAAATTGTTTCCCTTTGTTTTGAGTGAAATTGGTTTAAACATGGTTTGTTGGGTCTGTTTTCTATCTTTGAGGTCGCACACTGTTTTGGGATCCCCGGTGAGCAGAAAAACAATAACTAAATATTTTAGATCTATCTATATAATAACGGTAGAAATATGTTCATATGCTTGTATGTATCTTTGTGTGCAATTTCCAAGATAGCTCCCACTTCCAGAGTTCACTGTGACTCTTGCCAAACTTGGATGTTGGAAGTTATAGTTCACCCTCTTCCAGAGAGCCACGTGACTCCCACTGATGATGGATCTGGACCAAACCTGGCACATAGACCCAGCATGACCAACTTTAAGGACTGATGGGGTTTGGGGGGTAGTGACAGAGGATGATGGGAGTTGTAGTTCACCCATATGTGACAAGCACTGTGGATCCCACTGATGACAAGTCTGGACCAAACATGGCACACAGACCCCTTCCAAGTCGAACTTTAAATACTAGTGTTTGGTGGGCAGTTACAGAGGATGATGGAAGTTGTAGTTCACCCATACATGATTTTTTTTTGTCATGTCAGGAGCGACCTGAGAAACTGCAAGTCGCTTCTGGTGTGAGAGAATTGGCCGTCTGCAAGGACGTTGGCCAGGGGATGCCAAGATGAGTTGATGTTTTGTCATCCTTGTGGGAGGCTTCTCTCATGTCCCCACATGAGGAGCTGGAGCTGATAGAGGGAGCTCATCCGCCTCTCCCCGGATTCGAACCTGCGACCTGTCGGTATTCAGTCCTGCTGGCACAGTGGTTTAACCCACTGCGCCACCGGGGGCTCCACCCATACATGATGAGCACTTTGAATCCCACCGACAATGGGTGTGGACCAAACTTGGCATACAGATGTCCTCCAAGTCTAACTTTACATCCAGACAAGGTTTGGGGGTAATGACAGAGGATGCTGGGAGTTGTAGTTCACCCATATGTGACAAGTACTGTGGATCCCACCGATGATGGATTTGGACCACACTTAGCACACAAGACCATCATGGCCAACTTTAAATACTGGAAGGGTTGGGGAGCGGGATTGACTATGGAAGATGAGAATTGTAGTTCACCCACACACAGAACACTGTGAACCCTACAGATGGTGGATCTAGACCAAACTTGGCAGACGTACTCAACATTACCAACTTTAAATACTGATTTGGTTTTTTTTTTGGGGGGGGGCACAATGATACAGGGTTATGGGAGTTGTAGTTTACCCACAAACAGAACACTGTGAACCCCACAGATGATGGATCTAGACCGAACTTGGCAAACGTACTCAACATTACCAACTTTAAATACTGATTTGTTTTGTTGGGGGGGGGGGGGTGCACAATGATACAGAGTTATGGGAGTTGTAGTTTACTCACATCCCAATGGAACCATTCATAAAATCCCAAAACAAACAACAACTTTTTATAATAAGTAGTGTTACAAATCAGATGATGTGACTGGAAAGTGATTTTAGTAATGAGATGTTGAGGACTTGTGTTTTACTGCTTTTATTGGCTTTGTTGGTTTTATATGGTTTATATTATATGTTAATGTTTTAATTACATTTTATGTTATACAACCCTGAGTCGCCTCTGGGCTGAGAAAGGCGGTATATAAATATGATAAATAAATAAATCACCAAACCCAGGAATAAAAGAAGGAAGCCACCCTTCCATCCTTCAGCTCTTTTAACTACATGGCAACTTGTTTAGATGCAACCAAATAACATGAAAACATGAGCAAAAATGTGTCCCAAACAGTATATTCAGCATTTTCTCTCTCTCTCTTTTTCAGGTCTTTCGCTGGTGTTTCATCCACCCCATCTCATGATGTCAAAATCCATGGATCTAACGTAGTGCTAGCCAACTAAGTGAGGAGCTCAGCAACTGGTGGGATTTCCTTGGACTGGTTTCCTTCAACCTTTTCCATCTGGGACCTTTTCCCTTTCTCTGTTGGCTCTGGAATCAAATCCTTTCCATGCGGAGAAGACACTTCTTGTTCATTGATAGCTGAAAAGGCAAGAGAGAAACACTTCTAAG